TCCCAGGTGCTACTCTTTTAGCATTTGTTTGGCCTTCAGGTCTTTAGGTCTGGCTCACAGCAGGAGCATCCGCCCCTCCCACAGTTGTCTTCGTCTTCTGTGCTGTCTCTTTCCAGGGCCTGGCCCAGTCTAACTGCCTGCCTGTAATATTTTTATCTAGCTCGGCAGCCTGCAGTAGCATCGTGCGTCATCTTTTTTGTGACTGGTTTCTTACGGGTGGTGTTTCCAAGGCTTATCTGTGTTGGGGCCTGTGTCAGTACTTAATTCTTTTTTATGGCTAAATAATGCTCTACTCTATGATATTCTGCTTTTGTTCATCATCTGTTGGCAGCTGTCCGGTTGCTTCCACTTCTTAGCTATTTTAACTACTGTAGGTCTGAATATTTGTGCGCAGGTTTTGTGGCTGTCTGTTCAGTTCTGCAGGAATTGCAGAGTTATATGGTAACTATTTTTAACATTTTGAGAAACTACAGCATACTTTTCAAGAGCAGCTGTACCACTCGCAGTGCCATCAGTGATGCATCAATTCCAGTTCTCCACATTCTTGCTATCTTGTCATTGTCCTTTGATTATAGTCATCGTAGTGAAATGGTAGCTCATTGTGCTTTTGATTTGCTTGTTCCTAGCACTTAATGGTGCTGGGCATTTTTCTTTAGGAAAAAAAAGTCTACTCAAATCCTTTGCCTATTTAAAAATTAGATTTTCTTCTTTTTGTTGAGTTGTGAGAGTTCTTATGTACTTTAATAAAAGTACCTGGTCAGATATATGATTTGCAGATATTTTCTCCCTTTTATGAGTTCTGTTTTCACTTTCTCCATATCTTTTGAAGTAGAAAGGATACTTATGCTTGATGAAATCAGATTTATTTTTCTTTCATTGTTTATGCTTTTGGTGGCAGAGCTAACAGATCACTGTCTAATCAAGGTCAGAAAAATTTTTTTATTTTCTTCTAAGATTCTTTTTTCTCTTATGTTTAGTTCAGTGATTTTTTTTTTTTGCGGAACCGGGGATTGAACTCAGGCCTTTGCGCTTGTCAGGGAAGCACTT